AAAAATGTCTTTACAAAAGAAATTTTATAATGTGTTTGGAAAGCCGGTGGTTATGTATGCTCAACCATATGGAAAAATGATTTAAAATGTATGATATGAGAAAATGCTGTGTTTTAAATTTTTTAGCCCCCCCCCCATTTATTTTCATAGAATCATAGAATTTAAGGGTTGGAATGGACCTTACAGATCATCTAGTCCAAACTCTCCCTGCCATGGGCAGGGACACCTCCTCACTAGATCAGGTTGCTCAAGGCTTCATCCAGCCTGGTCTTGAACACTGCCAGGGTCAGGGCAGCCACCACGTCCCTGGGCAACCTGTTCCAGTGTCTCACCACACTTATAGTAAAAATCTTTTTCCTCACATCCAACCTAGACTTTCCCCCCTTCAGTTTGAACCCATTACCCCTTGTCCTATCATTGCAGTTCCTAACAAAGGGTCCATCTCCAGCTCCCTTGTAGGCCACTTCAGATACTGAAAACTTGCTATGAGGTCTCTACACAACCTTCTCTTCTCCAGGCTGAACAGCCCCAACTTCCTCAGCCTGTCCTCATAGGGGAGATGCTCCAGTCCTCTTATCAACTTCATGGCCTCCTCTGGACTTGCTCCAACAGTTCCATGTCCTTCTTATGTTGAGGGCACCAGAACTGCATGCAGTATTCCAGGTGGGGTTTCACGAGAGCAGAGGGGAAGAATTACCTCTTTTGGCCTGGCCTGCTAGCTCCTTTAGATGATTTTCTCTATATTCAAATTCCTTTTTTTGCTTAACAAAACAAAGTGACTTTCTGAGTTTAAGAACTAGATGTAACTGCTGCTGGATACACTTGAGTAACAATGCATATGCTTAAACATGTTATTAACATTGAGTTCAGTGTGTTTCACATCTAGCTTGCGAGGTCAAACCTTGAGTAATTCCAGCAGTAGGGCAAGATGATTTTCTCTATATTCAAATTCCTTTTTTTGCTTAACAAAACAAAGTGACTTTCTGAGTTTAAGAACTAGATGTAACTGCTGCTGGATACACTTGAGTAACAATGCATATGCTTAAACATGTTATTAACATTGAGTTCAGTGTGTTTCACATCTAGCTTGCGAGGTCAAACCTTGAGTAATTCCAGCAGTAGGGCACATGGACTGTTTTATATTTAAAATGAACCATTTTATTATTGTAGCTAACTAGGTAAAGAAAAATTAGGCAGTTGCACCTCCAGATGGCCTGAAACCCATCTATTGCTATGGTGATGTCAAGAAGTCAGATCTTTTCTCCTGCATTTTCTGGTTTTTCACAAAACTTTGCAGGCTTTCTGTAGCAATTTTCTAGTCTATCCCTGGAGAAAAGGCACAAGACAAGAGCAGAGTCCGCTAAATATTAACATCTGAATACGAACTTTTCCCTCCAGAATATTGCTTTTCCTCCATTCAGTAGATTTGGATCTAATGTACTCACTGCAACTTTATGGACAGCCTTTTTATGTCCAAGGGAATTAGAACCCTCACCTGACACCATTCAACAGAAACAGAGGGCTGGACTCCCCAGTATCCAGGTTCTCTTTTTTTTCACCTTTGCTGCCAGATTCAGAATTTATATTTGAAAAAAAAAAAAGGGTCTTGTAAACAGGAGCTGGAAAACAAAAGTGAAGGTATTAGCTCTGACTGGAAATGTGTTTATGCTGGCTTTTTGGATCACAGAGTGTTTGCATATTTTGTACAAAATTAAACCAGCCTTCCTTGAAGAATTCATCATTCAAAATCCTGTTCATGATATTCTCCACACCAGTGGGAAAAAACCCCAATCCAAACCCCTACTTCCAGCCCAGCACTAAAGTAGTCCAAGATTAGAGTTGACTTTGGAAGTTTGGAGGTTCAAATCCCATCACTGTCGCTTCTGCTTTTTTTTTTTTTTTTACATTTCTAGGAAAAAACATTCTTGTCGGGTCAGAAGAAAGTTTCTGTGTCAATTTTTCTTTTGGGGAAATTAAATTCCCAAATTTTCAAACCTGAACTGACTGTGAAGATCCAGCCCAAGCAACAGTGGAGGAATCTGTGTGCCTAAAATATAAATCACTCTTTTAGCCTATCAAATGATATGCTCATATCATATGCGCCAATACAATGAGGTACTGACAGACCATCAAACGTAAATTGTAAAGGCAGTTTATATGCAAGGAGTGCAAATTGCCATTGGAAATGAGTTTGCTTTGGATTATCTTTTCTTTTCATGCACTTTTGAGAGAATGTAATGATTATTTGTGGGTTTAAAAAAGCATTCCAGAGCTGTCATGAATCCCATGTCATGTCCCAAAGAGCAGCTTCATATTCAGTGTTTTGTCTGCTAAAACCAGAGCACAGTGGGATGGCTATGAGTGTTTCCACTGCAAAACTTTTACCTTACCTTGTGATGGAACAGAAGAATATCAGGATGTCAATGCAGTGTATCTGGAAAATTATGTTCTGGTACTTTATGTGAACTAGACTCTTCTCATTTTCCAAAACCCTGCTGTTTAGATCCTTCTGTTGCAGGACTTCATTTTGAGATTCTGTAAGAATTGGCACTTTGTCTCTAGATCTGAAATCCTGTTTGGCACATTGACATCTAGAGCACTATTTCACAAGACTACTAGGGGCAGAAAAAGGAGAAGGGAAAAAAGTAGAGGTGGTATGCACTGTCTCCTAGATGCACAACTATGCCTACTATGACAAAATGACCATATTCATGGATAAGAGAAGAGCAGTAGTTGTAATTTACTTTTTAAAAAACCCTATTCTTTGATGACAAGATTCACCATATAAATATACATAGCGGTATACCTGGGTACTACTCTGTACGCATGGTCTTTCTTGTTCACATGGTGAAAAGAAAACTGATTGAGATGTGCTAACATGCCAACAACATCTTCTCTTTCAGACTTTCATAACATTTCTGTAAACACTGTGTGGTAAGCTGGCCATTAAAACAGAATCAGTCTTGCCATCTGCAATGCTTCTCAAAATGGGATGCTATTTAGATAGTGTTAGATTTGTAGCAATGAGCTGTATGTATAAACCAATTTTATTTTATTTTTTAAATGTAATATCTCAATATGATAGGTATAGCCCTTGTTTGAATGTGCATTTTACTTAGAGTCTGCATTATTATCTTCAATGTGATGTGCAACTATCGATTTCATCAAACAGGCAGTAACTGAAATCGTATTAGGAAGAAGTATGATAATGCATAGTATATGTGCAGTGAGGAATGAATGTTGTACATGGATTTCCATTGGTGTAATAATGCTTAGGAGTTGCATGTCCAGCAGAGATGTCAAGTGCATTTACACTAGAATAGACAAAACCATATAGATTATGAAACCTTGGGACATCAATCAAATTCAGGAGGATGCTCATCAGTACCAATACTTTGTGATTGGAGTGAATCCTATGAGAGGAGACTCAGATTGTCAGGATAGAACCCTTTGATGAAGGAACTTTTGCTTAGTATTAACACTAGAGAAACATCTTTTTTCTCTTGCTGTAACTGAAGGGTTTTACTCAGGTTAAGTAATCTGCCAGCTGCATTCCTGGCATACAGTAAACCTTGAGGTATTTTGCTTAACAGACAAAATATAGAAAACCAGCCTTTTTATTGCCTGTGATTTTAGCACTGTCTCTCATACTTGATAAGTGCCATCATATAAGCAAAAGTGGTACTGCAAATATAACTGCAGGATGCCACAGTGCTGCTGTTTCTTCTGAGGTTTTCTTTACACTCATGGAGAGATTTGCATTTTTTGATTGATTGGGTTAAGTGATATGCTGACTATTGTTGCAGGTTTTAGTGTCTGGCTCATCTTGGGATAATGTATTTATTAAATGCTAAAAGATAAATGTGAGACATCATTGCACTGTTTCTTACTGTCAGTAACCTATGAGAATAGATCAGAATTGAGGCATCGACATTGGTACCTCCTGCTGAGTTTAATGAAGGGAGAGGATCTGAGCAGTGTAGCCATGAAAACTCCTGGTGGTATTATTCAGAAACAGTTTGGGCTTTTATTGAAAATCCCACTCTAACTCTGGATAGCTTGTATGTGTTAGTACTAATGTATAGTAATTGCTGCAAGCAAGCAGACAAGTTGTTTTTCCACAGAACGGTTCTTTCCCACTTTACTTGCAGTTTATGCTTACATTAGCCATGATTAACATTTCTCCAGACATGGGAATGAGTGTACAGGAAGGAAGGAAGGGAAGGGAATACTGCCAGCTTGCACAATTGTACTGGAAACAGGATGACATTTAAGAAAACTGTGGCACTGCCTTCATATTTTCCTGCATGGAGTGGCAGAAAACTCTGTCCCTCTCAGTAGGGGAGCATCAAGGGATAGAACAGATCCTTGTACCTTGCAAGGACAGCAAAAACGTCTTCTTGGTCCTTTGCCACAAGGGAAGGAAGGATGCAAGCAAAGGAAGGATGTGGCCTCTGGTATGACTACCTTCTGCCATATGTAGAGCATACTGGTGGGTGGCTGCTGAGTATCTGATCAGTGGATGCTAAAGTTACCTTTGTACTGAGATGCCCTGGGTGGTTTTGTCTGTTTTTACGCTCAGACCAATATAATGTTAACTATCCTTTCAAATTTTCAAACTTTTCTTCGGAGTCATTGGAGTGAGATGTTGACAGTTGTTAGCAATTGTATTACTTTGAGGATCCTTTCTGCCCTATTCTGGTCAAACCACATCTTGCAAATGATGTTTGAAATTTCATGTTCTCTCAGAAACTGGATGTCAAGACTTCCACTGCAGAATAGCCTTGAGCTTTGCATAGGTCTGTTAGGCAAGATGGCTAATATACACTGCTGGAGACTGTGTACAGAGAGGTCAGACAATACCGAGAAAAATAGCTGGAATGTTCAATTTTTTTTCTTTTGCTTTTTGGGTTGTAATATTAAAGCCAGTCTGTCTTGGGAAAATTAGGGAAATTGGAAGAAGCTGAGAGCACAGATGGGGCAGAGGAAGGGAAGAACTGAGGTGTATGCAGGAGAGAGTGTTGGGGTGCTGTAGACCAAATGCAAGCAGCTGCAGTAGGACAGATGACAGCAGTGAAGAAGTATGAAACATATGAATAATGCATAGAAAAATGATAGAAAAATAAATTGTATAAAAAGGAATAGATCTATGGAGAGCAGTGGATGTAGCGTTGAGCTGGCTAAAGAGACAGTAGCTGGTCTTGTGGACACTATAGTGAACATATGAAGAATGCAGGGACAAGAGGAAGGGAACTGACTAGCATGGCAGGACTGCATCATCACAGGCTAGTGAGATAGCCTGTGAAACTGAAAAGCAGATTGCTCTAACTTCTGCACATTTATCTCAAGTGAAATTTTGGTCCTGAAATTCTCAGCCATGCTATTAGGAGAGGTTGTTTCCTCCTGAAAGGTCCAAAACTTATGCGAATCTCCGACAGACCTCAGCACAGAGCACTTGCTTATCCTGAAGTTGCACAATAAATCCAGCATTACAGTGTGCTCATCAGGGGCAAACCAAATATGTAACAAGGTAAGGGAGAAGCTTCAAGTGTGTATTTGTGGAACAGATATGCTGTGCAAATCAATCACAGGTTGGGCTACTGAATTGCTGACTTCCCAAGGTATGTGTGGCATTTACATGAAATTAAAGTTTAAAAAAAATGTTATCACAGAATTCCTGGCTGAAAAGGAAATAGATTTTCTAGGAAAACTGTCTGTAGTTTCAAAACTAGGTACCTTCATAATTCCACGTGCAGTTGACTGCTCCAAAGCATTGACAGCTGGTATCTTGCCAGTGTTGGATTTTGTTTAGTTTGACTGTGCTAGGAACTGTAACCATCCTTTCTTTTTCTGATATTTTAGGTACAGCGAGAACTAGCTGCTGTCATTGCCTTGAAAGCGAGAAAGTCAGGTGAGTCAGGCTGGACTTCAGAGGGGGTTTAGTAATCCTGCTGCCTTTTGTCATTGTCTATGTGTGCCAAGTACAGGGCAAAATTTATTACATACAACACATGCACAACACACAACATAGTATCTTAAACTGAAGTCGCCAAGAAGATGTGACTGGCATATCTGCAAATACTTACTTGTGAAAACGTAAGTATAAAAAAATATTCTAGACATGGTTTGGTGCATTTGTGTCGGGAAATAGAAGTACCCATACATTATGTCCACAGTCATGTGTAAATGTAAATCTGCAGAAAGTGAACACAAATGTAAGTGTGAATTTAGACCTGAATTTCTTCTGTGTAGCAGCTTTGCTTCTGAAACTGCGGTAGTAATTTATGATCTTAGCATCCCTCATCTGCTTGCCCTTACCTGTTATCACTCCAGTCCCACGTGACTTACAATGGTTGAACATGGAAATGCTTCTGCTCTGGTTCAGCATAGAGAAAAGCAGAAGGGCTCAAGGTAATCTTTTATTTTGCAGTCAAATGGGTCAAGAGTATGTTGCCATGTACTTTTACTTACTTCTTTTACAAATATAAGAAATCTCCCTGCTTCTCAGCAGTTATGTCAGCAAATGTTACTGCTGCTACTGGCAACAAATAAAACTCTTTTCCCCAAAAGAGTTTTTTTTTATCCTGAATTACCATCTCGTTTCCTTTCAGTGGATTGCTACATAAATGGTTGTATTAGTAGAAAATGGAATGAGGATTTGATTAGGAATAAGATACAGGATATGAAGATGGGTAAAGAGGGTATCTCTTGGAGTCTCCTTTATACTACTGTAATTGCAACCCACATTGAGCAGGTAGAAATATTTTAATTAAAAATCACAGCAGTGCTGTCCAGCCTTTCCTAATACATTAATGTAAACATTTAAAATATCTGTTTAGATGTGAACAAAAGATACCTCTTTAATCAGTTTAACTAGTGCACACTTGTTGAAATTTGCATTTCTTTATGCCTCATCTTGGATGACTGTAAAAAATGGGTACATGATCAGACATAACTGTAAGGTCTAATTTAAGTTAATGCCCTAAGTACTGTAGGTGCAGAGTAAATTAGGGTGGTTTATTATGCTTTTTTATTTTATTGCTGATGGTTAAATTCACAGTGTAGCAGTTACTGTTAGCAATCAAGCTGTGGTATGCTGTGCCTGGTGAAGTGAAGCATATTTCAGAGAAAGTACTTCTGGAGCTGAAACCCACAGTATCTTTCGAAGTTACTATTCTTCTACCCCTCCAAGACTCCATATAATTCTAGGAAATAAGCTACTGAAGATCAGACAAAGTGTTAATTTTTGTATAAAAAGAGTGGAGCATGGCTATTGGGCCAGCTGCCCTGGATATTTTCCAGGCTTGTGAGAACAGTGTGGGTGCCTGGCTCAGCCACCCTAGGATTCATGAGTGGGGAGGGCAGGCAACAGGCATGGTCCTAACCTGCTGGCTGGAACCTGCCTACAGTGGCGAATCAGTTCATTATCTAAGAGCTTTCCTGGAGACCAGCAGCCCAAAACTCAAAGCTGTTATACAGAAGTTCCTGTACTGTTTATGATGGTTTGGTGGTTTGTAAATTGTAGTGTTCCAAAACATTTCCTCTAGATAGCTGGTTAGTGCTAACAGTAGGAGAAAAAAAGAAAATAAAAGAAAAAAGTGGTTTTGCTTAATGCAAGGGCTATGTAATTTGATCCTGAATTACTTTAATTTCTGATTTTTTGGATATACCATAGAGAAGACATTCATAGTTATTCAATTGTTCAAGAAAACCTGCCTGATTACACGTTTTTACAGAATCACAGAATCATGTTGGAATAGACCTCTGAGATCACTGAGTCCAACCTATGACCTAACACCATCTTGATGACTGGACCATGGCACTAATTGCCACATCCAGTCTTTCCTTAAACATCTCTGTGGATGGTAATTCCACCACCTCCCTGAGCAGTCCATTCCAATGTCTCTCACTCTTTTCTTGAAGAAATTCCTCGCAGTGTCCAGCCTAAACCTCCCCTGGCACAGCTTGAGACTATGTCCTCTTGTCCTGTCGCTAGTTGCCTGGGAGATGACGCCAACACCCATGTGGCTACAATCTCCTTTCAGGTAGTTGTAGAAAGTGATAAGGTCACCCCTGAGCCTTCTCTTTTTCAGGCTAAACACTTCCAGCTCCCTCAGCCACTCCTCATAGGACTTGTGCTCCAGACCCTTCACCAACTTCATTGCCCCGCTCTGCACAAGTTTTGTACTGTTTGTCTAGGACTGCTGTCGTAATCACTATGTTACACTGCATGGAAAGAGCTATACTAGTACACAAACAATACAGCTGCCTCTGCAAGAGGTGAAGAGGTTCCAAGTAGGAAGGTTTGCTATGCTTTGAGCAGGGCGGAACATTGCCTTTGGTTACGCGAGTGAAACAGTTTGGTTTTGTTTAAATGAAGCTTCAGTTTGCTACCTTGTTTATGTATATGAGAAGTAGTAATTACAACTAGTTCAGTTCTTGGGGCAGAATGGCTGTTCCAGCGATCTAGACACGGTATCTACTGACAAAATGCTTTGAAAACTAAGGTAGAGACCTGAGCCTGCTCTCGGGTAGGGCAGAGAATCAAATTCTTGCTAGTACAGGATCTGACTTGATGGAGAATGTTGGCTACTGGAAAATAAAGAGCTAATAGAGTGTGGGAGAGAATGCCTTTCCCTAAAAGGTGTTGTTTTGTTTTTACTGTAAGGTAGAAGAATAGGAGAAACTCATAAAGTTGACAGATGCTGAAGGAAAAGTGAGGAACCTGAAAAATCAAAAACTTCTGTGCTGTGGAAAAAAAAGTTCTGCTTTCATATTCCAGATTTGTAGTACAAGTATACAACTCTGACAGTGTCACTGAAATGGGGAATAAACTCCTTAACACCGATGTAGTATTAAGAAGCAGCATTCCTTTATTGCAGTGCTGGATGCACGGGGGATCATTCCACCTAATGTGCATACCATACCTCCCAGCAGCTAAAGCTTATATTGTACTATTCCATACATATGCATAACTCTTCCATGAACAGTTTTACATATTTAACAGATCAACAACAGATTTCCTAGAACCAATTGTCATATTTACACAGTAATTATGAATGCGGCTTAAGTCCTTTGCTGATGGTCTCTGATAGTCATTTGTGGTCAATGTCCCTCAAAGTCCATGTGTCCACTGTATGATCTTGATGTATAAACTCCAAATAAGAAGTTGTTTGCTGGTCTTGCCAAGTGACCAGGTAAGCATGACTAGAACATTCTCTTTGGTTCCACTGGGTCTCAGCTATCTTTTATTTCCACACTGAGTTTTAGTCCGTAGGGTGGAGTTTCAATTCCATGTGGTCAATAGTTGACATTGCCATTGTTCACAGATAAAAGTTTTTAAACTTTTAAAACTTTTTCTTTACAATTAAAAAAAACCCCCAAACTCTTTTAAATGTTCTAAACCAACAAGAGCAAGGCATAAACTGACAGAGAGAGGTATACTTGAGAGCCCCTATGCAAAGGGAGCTCAGCATTTTTAGCATCTTTGCAAATAAAACTAAACCAGGGTAAAATTAAGGGCTGTAATTCAGAAGCTTTGATGGACCTCAGTAACACTGTTGATGTGAAAGCACATTTATATTTAATTAGAATAAAGCTCTCATGAAAAAGGTGACCTAGGAAGGGCAAATCAGCTTGTGCACTTCTCTGTGGCTTATAAAAATGCATTGAAATTGTTCTTGTCTAACCTTAGAAATAAATAGATTAAATGCTGTCTTCTGTGGTTTGGTATAAGGTCTTTGGGAAGCAAGTAACTGGAGCAGAAGGGATCTTTGTCTTTAATTGTAGGCACTTGGCATTAAATTGTTGTGTTTATTTATACCTCACTGGCTTCTGATGGCTTCTGCAAATGTGCTGAGATGCAACAGAAATGCAGCCTCTCATCTGAAGGTTTACAAGGGTTGGCATTTATCTCAATTGCTTGTCATGGCTCATGACATGTTTCTTATGTGTTAGAGATGGTAGCTAAAACAAGGACAAAAAGCAGCAAATAGCCTAAGGCTAGAGGCTTTAGCCCCATGGCACTGCTACACAGGTACATACATCTGAACTGATCAAAACCTGTCAGGTAGATAGATGCTCTGAAATGGTGTTAGTCCCATCCACAAACAAGATGCCTTGCATTTCTGTGCATGAACCTAGCTGCACCCCATGGCATCACCCAGCAAAAACCGTTATAGCTAAAGGAATTTCTATAACTTTATTTGTTCAAAAGATCCATTGATAAGAGCATGGCTCTGGTCTTTGTGTTTTTGAATATAGGGGCTAATTAAGATAACAGCTGACAGAGTATGGATGAGGTAGGAAGAGGGTGACTGCACCTTCTCCCCAGACATTGCAGTAGCAGTGGCAGGGATGTGGGTGCTTCTCGCTCCCATTGTGAGTGGCATGACAGCCACAAAAGCCCTAGCACTTTTGTGTGGCTTTACTCCCTCTTAAGAATGATATTCAGGTTTCCACTCTATAATCAGATGCATTGTAGTCATGCCATTCTCTTGATTTTTTTGTATTGGACCATTTACATTTTATTTTAATGACGTATAATCATTTATAATAATATCACCTTTTCAAGACTTTAACTTCATATTTGAGATCTTCTGGGTTGCTTCCATTCTATTCTAACCCTACATGTATATGCATGCATATCCACCCTTCTCCTTTTCTTTTGTATTGCATCTGTCAGAACCTAACTGCCTATGCAATTTGCTTAGTATTTTTATTTTAGTGCAGACAATTCAACATGAGGCAGTCACTGGGGCTTGAGCTTTGCCGACATGAATGAAAAGCAAGCTGTGAACAGCTATTCCTTTTCCCAGCCACTGCACCACCTCTACAGCACTGCTGTCAGGGCTGATTGCGTGACTCGACTCAAACACACTCCAGGCAATGTCAGCCCGGTTAAACACATGA